TCACTCCTGGAATAACTGCACAGAAGTACCTGTGATTAATCTGTGGTCAAAATACAAAATCTACTGACTTTCTTATAATGTTTCATCTAGTCATCTTTGAAACATAAACATCATGTTAAGACATGAAATTTTCATTTGCTCTCACTCTTTTTCCTTATATTCTTTTAAATTTTTGTTTTCACAACCTTGTAATTCTGAATATTTTATTTTAGAACCAAAACCTAAAATGCAGAATGAGACTTAAAGTAATAGATTGCATTGTAACCTACATAAATTACCATCATTATCAGAAAATAAATGCACAATGCTCTCTAATGTAACAGTCAACAAATTGTGCTTACAAAAAATTCCCTTTCATACTCGACTTCAATTTTGATCACTTGCCCTAACTCATATTAATATCTATTAGCAGAAAAAGAACATTAATATTTCTGAAATTTTCAGTAGATATTATGCTTTCTGCATTGTATTTTTGTATTGAAACAGGTATAATGTATCTTTGCCAGAGTATGTTAAGTACAACTTGGAGGAAAAACATATGAAGAATACTATTCTGCCCCATTATTATTGTTAAAATAAACATATTTTCTTATAAGTTTTTATGAAACTAATTACTTCAATGAACAAAAAAAGCATTTTGAAAAATGGAAGGAACATATTACATAAAAAGAGGATAAGGAATGCCTATTTACAAAGTAATTGCAAGAAGAAGAAAACAGAAATAACGTTCTATGAAGAGAGTGTAAAATGCACATTGCATTATGTTGACATTGAGGTAATTAACATGCAGACAAGTGTCTAAGCTATTTTAATTATATAATTAATTATTTGAAAATTAAATATTAAAATAAAAAAAGTTCAGGAAAAGCTGTTAAGTTCAAAATAGGAGATTACAATTATTAATTAAACACAATAACTGGTGTGAAATTTCATTACATATTCTTTTCACATTGTTATCACAACCTGCCAGCAAACATTCAATATTTTACCCAAGCGAATGTAATATTTAAAAAAAAGAAAAAAGTTAAAACTCAGAAATATATACTAGCGATTTGTCTCATCTGAATAAACTTCCACCAAGGGTTTCATATCAAGATGACAAACAAAATATTTCATATTCCTTTCCCATTTCTCTTACACAGTTACTTCTAAAGGGATTTTTGTGTTAATATTTAATTCCAAGACGAACTGTACTTCCCATCAAGCATTGTCGCATCTCTAATGGGTGTTGTACAAACAGATACGGGCTTTTGTTTGCTGTACATAAAAGGGCCATTGTTATTCTGACCACCCATTCATAGAATTTAAAACTGAGCTTTTTCTCTTGAGATCCATCAAGGAAATTGAGTTTCCTTTCTGGTAAAGATTAGAATAATATGGATTGTATCAATGTAGATTTAATTGCAAGCTCTTCTAAATTAACAAGTCTCTGAAAAACTGCAGCTCATTATTACTAGGTTACAACAGAAAAAATACTAGGATATTTTTTTAATCAATATTATATCCAGATGATGATGGTGAAAACTTTATGTGCATGAAATGATTCATATTCATTACTTCCTCTAAAACAAAATCAAAGAAATAAATGTACAAGTAAATTTAAAAGGGTTTGTTTTCCAGAATCCCACTTGAATATAAGACATCCAATAGAGTACATCCAAATGGTGAATTTTGCAAAATAAACTGAATTTCTAACAAAAATAAGTTTAAATACCAAACCTACAAGAGACCAACATGGATTCACTAAATCACCTATCATTTGTATGCAGACTATGAAATTTGTTCTTGTAAATGATAACATATTGTGTTCAGCTGAAAATGTACTACTTTACACTTATTTTCTACACACCACATTTAAGTTGCTGACATACTTGTTTTAAACATAATACCAAGAAAAATATTAATGGGAGAAAATATATAGTAAAATAACATATGCATATCTTGATATTACTTGATACCCACGAATGAAGACAATGGCTTGAAATAACAAACCAAAATTAATGATCGGGGTGAAACATACTTTCAAATTTCAAAGAAGTGTAAGATTAAAATGGATTTCTAAAATTAGGTAATAATAATTTAGACTAATTTTCACTTAAACCCATTACACTAGTTCGACTAACATGTAATTCAATTATGATGACAAACAAAACATCTGTCTCAAATGTTATAAAATTGATTTGCAAATATTTTCTTTTGGATTGATCTGACATTGTTTTAATATAAGTGTGGGTTGGGTGTCTATATACATAAATAAATACTAATACAAAATTAATAAAAAATACAGAATTTACCTAAGTGATAAATCAGGTGTCAAGTTAATTGCAATTTATTGAGAGGAGAAAGTGAAGTAGAGTGCTAATATCAACTAATTGAAATGGAGCATTATTCTTAATGGAACAGAGTCGACAATCGCCTCTTTGTGATAAAACCAAAAATTTTATTATGAGAATGTATACTTTTCAAAATCAGGAAATAAAAATGACCTATCAGTTGAAGGATATATAAATAGTATATCTCCTAAATCTGTAAGTTTTAAATAAGAGATTCAATCTACAGTGACAGAAGAAATAGAAAATCACATGTAAAATGGCAACAAATACAAGTAAAAAATAAAATCTTTCTGGTAGAATGAAGAGTTACCCACTAAATTATGTTGAATTTCTGCATGGCACTTCTTCAAAGTGATTTAAGGCAAATGGTAAAACCATTTTAGATCTCCTCAAGATTCACAATGAAATGTAAACCCAAGTGTACAACAACCATTAGTTGAGATTTTTTTTACACTATTCAAATAATCAACAATGGAAGAAAGTACCAGATGCAATAATACATTGTATCTAAAATTACTTAAAAAATTTTGATTTAAGAAAAATCAGAAAAGTCTCGGCTTGATATATATAAACCTGAAAAAGAAAGTAATTATGTTTGTATATTCATTTTGGTTTCTTTGGCAAGAAACTGTTCCAATTTCTAAGTTAAGGAAAATTTAAGTATGATATAATAAAATAAATATAAGAAAAGAATAAATGAAATCAGTTCACTGATATGCCCTTCTTATACTTAATTGAAATCACGAATTTAGTAAAATTAAGAGGAAGAATTACCCACTATTTCTAAACAATGGGTCTTACAATTAGTTCTTAAGAATAAATTCCTCTAAGAAGTCTGTTTTTCTCGGTGTATTACCAAAAAATAATAAATAGAGGACTGAAATCTATGAGACTTTAATGTAAATTAACCTGAAGGTTGTTAACTTAAAAAAAGTACTGATAATTACAAGATAATTGCAATTATTGAAAATGTCCCTAGAAATAACAATAACTTTGAAATAAAGCCATTGCATAGTTGCATTCCTCCCTCCTTTTGTATTATGAGAACAAGTTCACCAAACAATCATAAGAGTATACCAATTAGTAATTAGCCCCTGAACTCACAAGTGATCACGAATGAAATGCAATATAATGAAAACTTAAAAGCCAAGTATCAAACCTTTTCAAATAACTTTCTAGTTTCAGTTAACAAACCATTTTAGTTTCAATGTAGGTTGTTGTTGTTGTTGTTGTTGTTTTTCTTAAAAACATTCTGATTTTAGCTTTGAAACAGACTTCCTATCTTTTTATTAAAATGAATAATTTACTAGAGAGCACACCTACATAAAATTAACATTTCCCTATTAATTGCTGTAAAAAATGTAATGTTTAATTATTGTAAAAGAATTAACTTGACAAAGCAACTAACTTACTCAGAAGTTCATGAGGAACTGACAAATTTACTAGAATGTAGATATCTTTTTTTTTTGAAAAGATATAAAATATTATTGGACTCTTTAAAAATGTCTGAAAACTTAGTAACTTTTTTGATTTGCAACTTTGCATTAACTAAAATGTGCATTACTAGAGCATAAAGCAATGATTTGCTTGGTTTCTACACGAATTCTTGAGTATAATTCGGAGGATTCAAAAAGAAAAATATTTTTTTCTGAGCAAGGGGTATAATAAAACAAAAGAGAACATCGTATCTTTTTCTGGTAATTGAAAAAGATCCAAAACTGACTTTTAACACTTTGAGTTTCTTCTTCAAACTTAACCAATATAATAGTTCAAATGAAATTATGAAGATAAAAACAGACATTGTTTCATTTGGTTATTGGTTCCTGCAATATATTTAATGAAACAATAACAGTTTCAGATTTGGATAGAATAGTGAAATATTTTTGAAGATTATCAGTTTGAAGCCTCATTTAAAAATAAAAGTAAGAGCAGCAAATTTATTAATTAGTAGCAACAAAATTAAAAATACACTATGTTATCATACCAAAAATCCAAGCTCAACAATTTATAAAGTAAAATGGTGTAAAAGTACATACAAGCATAAAAGAGCATTCAAGCCTTGACAATCCCAATAAGAGAGGTTCATGAAGAAAAATAAGTATTACAGAAGATAGTAAAACAGTGGAAGGAGCTGTGGTAAATTTGTGAATGATACCAAAATGTGGAATGATAATTAAGAGAAAAACATGAGGAATGGTTTAACAGATTTTGAAGTATAACAATTATTCCTCAGAAGTAGATCTTCTGAGAACAAGTATTTTTGAAGATAACTTTTGAAATTTTAAATTAGTAAAATGTATTTACTATAATATAAAGTAATTAAGATCTGAAGCAAAATTATTAACAAAGAACAGTGGAAATCAAACTATTAGTCAAGCAAATAATCATGAGAGATGAAGGAAGAAAGAGGAAAATATTACAAACTAGAAGTTATTTTGTAGCAAGTGAAGAACCTGCTTTGAACTGTAATTACAAGAAAGCATGAAATAGAAGAGAGATGACAAAATGGGAAAAATTTAGAGTAGATTGAGAAGCATGATTATGCATCAAACAGTCTGATACCAAAAAGTTCCCAAATCCCCAAATCTGACATCCTATAAATCTGGGTTAGCTATTAGCATTTGTCAATATATATATTTCAGTTTCTTTTATTAGAAACTTGCAATATTTCTACTCAGGTACATTAATATCTACGATTTCTATGATAATTCTTTCTTTTATGGTCTAGACCTAACTCAAATGTATGTTTTAATACATGCAGCTATTTGTAGGTATTTGTTCACGAGTTCAATTTTCACAAACAAGGTAACTTTGATTTCATTAAGTTACTATCCATTGCAACTACAAATTAGACTTTTACGTTGACCCATTTCTTCATATTTTACATTTCTTTGAAATCAAAGAATGATCTTTCCTCTGAACATTTACAATCCAGGCACCTAATGGCAGAATATATTATTATTATTATTATTATTATTATTATTAAAAATCAAGAAAAATCCATTCCTTATATTACAAGTGATCCTTGCTAGGAAGACTCCTATTCATGGTTATAAAAAGCAAATGTACATTTATATTCATAAAATGCTGTTTAAGCTGTGCCTTCTTGCTTTCCTTGTTCACTTATTTCCTTAATTAAATTGTTAAGAATAAAAATCAATAAAGCATTAAAATACTCTGGGCAGCAATTAATCTTAGAGTGAAATTTAAATTACGAATCACCTTTTTTTTCATCTATCTTTTACAATATATCTGCGACAGCTGCAGAAATAAATCACATCAGAACTTTCAAAATAGTTGCTATGATGCTCTAAATTTATTAGCAGAACAAGACATGTTTTTATGACAACTGGAATTCCAAAGGTTTAAAGTGCTACATCTGGTAGATTTTTGTTGATTAACATGATTTACACTTACGGCAAGCTTACCATTAGTACTAATAAGAGTATGTACAAGCAGCAATCAGAGTTGCACCTTTAAGATATACTAAATTTGAATAGTTTTAAAAGATATGAAATCATATGAAAAGTGGAATAACCACCTTAAACATTTAATTCAATGTGATTTTTCTTAAATATGAAACAATAAGACTGGATATCTATTGAAAAATATCATAATATTTTTAGCATGAAAACAGAAAACAAAATACAGAACAAGTTCAAAGACGTCAGCTGGTAGTGATCTGAAACTAGATCTGATCTACTTCCGACTTCATTCTTCAATGAACAATTGTATTTTAGTTTACCATCAGAACATCTACTCATCAGACTAAAGAATTAGAGAAAAATAAAAATTCATAAGAAACATAAAACTAAATGAATTAAAATAATGACAGAAATAAAATATGATTTTCTGCATCTACAAGTCTCTTTAAAGTAATGGGTTGTATGATGAAAAGAAACTATAAAATGTGTGTAAATACAATTTTGTAAATAAAAATATTACATAATATATATTACACATAAATTATAGATTACATATAGTTAATAAGTGAAGTACATGTCAAAGTTGTGGAAAACTTGACAACCACAGGGTGATAATTTTACTTCAGTCAGCTTTTTTTTTTACGCTGATCACAAAACGAGCATCTTTTTAAGACTGATCACTGACAAGATGCTTGAAGATCAAGACCGCAGTCCATTGGTGACCGCTAAAGCATGAAAAAACTCCCCGGTGTGCTAGCCAAAACTGCCAACAACATATACCTCAAATTTGAGAAAACCAAATGTAATACAAATCTTCAGAGCAATAGAAAAACTGATCATGAGACTCTCAGTGCTTCAATGCTTCTGCCAGAGGATTAATTAGAAGTTATCAGGGATTCTCAAATAGTAGCATATTTGAGGTATTAGGTTTATGATAATGGCATTGCTACTTGTACAAGAATACTTGAAAATATTTAATTTAATCTAGTTTTCTCAATATTAGCTTTAATCACTTTGGTGCTTACACCTTTGAGAATTCATACATAAGTTTCATGTTCATATTATTTTAACAACCAAGAATCAGCCTCACTTCATTTACTGCCAATAAATGTGATTCCAATGTTATTATTTTCAAATGCTATTATAAATGTACATAGAACTATATCACCACCTCCAGAAGCAAACAGTTTTATAAGGCACCATAGCACTTTGATTGCTGCTTTTATGAGAACAAAAGTAATGTTTTAAACGTTACCTTTTTTTATCTGGAAAAATTACCTTATCTCTTGAAAAAATCTTGTTGAAGCAACACTTTCAAAGAAAATTTTGCAAATGAAATCTGATTTTAGCAAATATAATCGTCCATGCTTTTTTCCCTCTGTTAAATGAAAATGCACAAATTTTCCAAGTTATAAGTGTAGCCACAAGTATGCAGCATTGAGAAGTTTCATTTATTTTGACTGTCATAGATTCTGAGTTCTGATGCCACAAATACATGCATTTAAATATATACCAAGAAAAAATTAATATTTAAAATGCACATCTCTCTTTTCTCATTCAACGTACAATTTCTAACCTCTCTCAAGATTTTTTTCTTCATTTCTTCATCCTTTTTTAAAGTAGCAAATTGTCAAATACGAATTAAAACATAATGAAATTTAATGAAAAAATCATACATCTCACAAAGTTCATTATTCTCAAAAATAATTCCTAATATATGCTGCACATTGATGAAATATAATAATATAATTCATAAACAAAAATACAGATTATTACAAAACAGCTTTCTGAGCTTCATTAAGGGAATTATATGTACAATCAATTGAGCACTTTTACGTGACAAGCTTATTTGCACTGAGTACACAAGCAGTTCAATGCAATTGTTAATCTGTATAGAATGAAGGATATTAAGTTAATGTATCATGCTGACTAGTATTGCAATTTTTGAGAGCCTTTGCAACAATTTAAAAGAATTTATAACAAAGCTCTCTTGTGAGTTTCAACAAATTCATCTACTAAAATAAAAAATGAAATGAACTTGCTGTACAATTTCAGTTGTTATTTCCTCAGACATTTCTTAGCATTGGAGATGAAATAAAATCATTGTATATTAAGAAAATTCAATATTTTTTAGATATTAAGGCCTTCACATATTTACTTAAAATAAACTTCTATGCCTTCTTCAATAATCAGTATCACAAGCTTTTATTCTCTCAAAATCACATATTTACTTATATTCAGGGTTTTGGGGGTATGTCAGTCAAGTATACGCGTATAAGATCATTCACATTCAAAAACACAATGTTACAACAACAAATGTATAGAAAATGGTATAGAAAAACACAATGGGGTACTCATTTTTATGTAATTGTTAAAGACCTCTCAAGTTTCATCTCAGCAGGCAATATTAAAGAAAGTAAAAAACCTAACAATTTTTGGCACACTAGCAAATATTTATAAACTGTAGGACAACTATTTTGGAATGCTTTTACAACCCAGTAAAGAGAAAACATTTCAATAAAAAGACAAACAAAAACTCACATTAACCGATATACTGTGAGAACATAAAGAAGCAAATATGTAGACTTATATAAAACACGTTTTATGATTCAAGAACGATACACAAACATGATTATAAAATGGATATAAAATGGAATACATAGTAATTTTGGAAATCTTGATGGTTGATATGTACTGCAAAAACTAGATATACATCTGATATTTCAAGTGTTTAAGGAAATCACAAGAACTCATGATATTAGTACATCTTATCTAGTGACAAGATCACAAGAAACCATCCATGCTGAAATATTTCCCAAAAACTTCTACATTAAATCCAACTCCTGTATCTTTAAATCAGACTCAATTGATATGAAATATTTTTCTTTCACAAATTGTACTGCCCATTGTAATAAATCTTAAGGTCAATCATTAAAGAAACTATCTCTAGATGCAACTTATGTCTTTTGGCTGTGATCTGACTGAAGATATATAGGTATAAAATTTTGAAATCCAATATTGGGGATACGCAGATATCACATTTTTAAAATTAATTTAGAGATTAAACAATATACCTCTGGTATATTGGCTACATACATTAGGTTTAAATGTTTACTTCTTATGGTAACAAACACAAATGTGTCAGTTGGCGTTGAAGTAACATTTCATTCATTCACACAGTCGTTCAAAATTTAATCATAAGAATTCTGTGCTCACAGCATACTATACACAATGTATAACAGAGAAATACGACTTATTTTAAAATATATAAGTTCCGTTATCCTGCTAATGGAATTTTTGGTACTCTGACATGGTCCTGCTGATCAGTGTTTCAGAAAACTACAATGGCCACTGCTTATCTAAAGAGCCAGTTTAAGAATCAAGAAAATGTAATAGAGAATTCCTATGTATAATTTCAAACCCTCAAACTGATCCACTGGAATCACCCGGAAATACAAGAACATTTTCAGCTCCATATGATGGAGATGGTGAAGGAGAACAGCGAGCATCCAGAGAAGCGCGACTGGCAGAGCTAAAACTACTGGAGCTCAGATCTTCATAGCTTGCTAAAGATTGACTACCTCCTGGAACAGAAAACAAATTTCACTTAATTTATTCAACTATAATTGATATGATTGTACATGGAGAGGAATTTGATGCAAATAGGGTAAGGAATCTTATTAATAAATGAACAAAGTCAGTGTTTAGCTGACTTGTAAGCATAATAAAAATCAAAGTATTACACATCTCACTTTTATTCAGAATAAAATACTATACCAACAAATTGCCACACTCAAGAAAACACACATTAGAGAAGCAAGTAACAGTTAAGATCTCAGAACACAAAGTTCTAGTGTACTTACAAACCTCAAAATTTATTTTGGTGTTCCTTTTCAATATCTATACATATGTATGATCTGCAGGTGATAAGCCTCTATGTCAGTCAATGTAATACAGAAAAAGATAAAACGTCTTGAGAATTTGTTTTTAAAAATAATATAAAAACTTGGGAAAAAATTACACTATGATAGTAGACAACAGTAATACATACCTCTCACCCAATTATATGTGCATAAGGCAAGGACATCAATAAGTAGAAAGGCACTTTGGCGTTTTTTGTACGTACATGTGATCATAAATATCTTTCGTATGCATGCACTCTAGAAATTATTAATTTTCAAACATTCACATGACAAACTACTTTATGTACAGTTCATCATTTATTACAGAAGTTCCCTCACCTTTGAAGACACACAACCACAAAGAAAACTCATTTATTTTAGTAGTTTTATTCATCATTTGCTATCCAAGACTCCAAATATTTTTACCAAAGAAAAGGAAACTTAAGTTAACTGTCACTTGCTTTCTTTCTTTTTTCTTTTCTTTTCTTTTTTCCAAATTGAGGCATGTCTTCTACTGCAAGACACAATGCAAAAGAGAAAGAAAAAAATTGTTCACAATAAAATATTAATACACATAAGATTGTCAAAGGTCATGTTCAAAACCAGGGTATAACATTAGTTAATTTTCTACAATGCTATTGATAAGAACATTGAGAGTTGATATGTTTTTGTTTTTTTATTAATTTCCAAATATTTATCTCTTGTAGTAGATACCATGAATGTCAATAAATAAACTTCATTGCTCCTTTCTAATTTTTGTTACATACTTTCAAACTGTCTGAATACAACCTTCAACCCACATACCACTCATACATTTATATGTTTTATTACGATGATTAAAGAAAATTTATGAGTAGAAAAAAGTGATAAGTTTCACCAATCTATTGAAATACTTTAAATACAATGCCAAAGGAAGAAAAAAATTGTTTTCTTGAATCAATTATTGGATATTCATAGAATTACTGGATTTATGACATTTCTCACAACAAATCTGTAATAGAGTCTTGTGCCTCAAGGATTTTATTCAAACACAGCATATTATTTACAAACCATTAACATTCCATCTCGAAATAATAGCAAATCAAAAATCAAAATGATTAGTACTAAACATAAATAATATAATACAAAAATAAAGTATCTTTTACGTAAACAATCACGGCCAATGGCATAAAATAAATAAATTAAAAGACAGTGTGAATAAAAGTAGAAACAATAATCCAGATAATATTGACAAGTTTAATAAGTTACCTCAAAGACATTAATTAGCAGATGAATAGTATCCGTAATCAGAAGATTTCCAGTTACCACGTTATATATCTTTATAATTCTGTTAACTTTTCAATGATTTTTCACAGATACAACTTTACAATGTAATATTAGTCTTATAAAATGAAAAAGTATCCGTCTTAAATTAGAGCCAAATTATCGTAATATAATGAGTTACATAACATGACAACAACCAAGTACATGACTTGATTTATAATTTGATACCATTGAAGTTACAATCAGCTCTTATAGAAGAAGATAAGCATTCTCATAGCCCTTTTGATTTAGGAAGAACTGATTTTTTTAACATTTCATATTCTGATGCTGGTAACCTTATTGGAAAGGAAAACTACTATAAATAACTCAACCATAATGAATGCTGAGATCAAATTTAATAAGATTAATACACAATAAGTATTTCTTAAAATACATGTATGTGAGTAAATTATGATAAGTTTGGTTCCAGTTCCTCAAGATTAACATTTAGATTTTTATTACATTCTTTAATTAATGTTCATATTTTATTTGAATATTCTACTAATTGCAACAGGGCAGTCTTCTATATAAATTTGCAAGGTCCTGAATGTAAACATCTTCAATATATTAGGGACTTTTTGCACAGTGTAGTGGATCGGAATCTCTCAACCACTCAATATCATTTTTGAGCATCTGCTCAAGCGCAATTGAACTGCACAAGCTCAGAACCTTAAGACTGCAAGTTGATTGCTGCAAAGAGTCTTTATTTTCTGAATACAATAAACCTGAATACAAAAAGCAATATTGCAAAATTCAGAGACTAAACAATAGTTTCCCCCTTTCTTTAACAATAGGGTGTAAGATAATCAATGTATAAAATGTCTCATGTCTGAACAAAATTTCTTTTAACACTGATAATTTTCTATGTGTGCACATTTACATGCATATGTACACATACCATGAAACAATCACAAATGTTTGTAAATTCAAGCTTGAAAGAAAATGAATATAAAAATATGTTGTAAGCGGCTGAAACAATTGTAATTGAGAGGTTTCAATTATTGAAATTTTTAATTCTTGCTTTTTTCTCTGCTAGAATGTAAAAACTGGATGTAGTTTATTTCCATAACGTATAGTCAGCTTTCAAATTTACTTTTAAATTTCCTTTTGTCATAAGTGAAATTCTTTACACCCTTCTTGTTTTGTTGTTTTTTGTTTGAAATAGCAAATATGAAATTTGAACATTTTAATATCTGAACCTCGTAAGTAAATAAGAACACAATTTTGGCAAAAATAAGTACAACCACATTTAAGAAGAAGTAATGCAAGTTGACTGTCATTTTCAACATCTTAAAAAATAGAAGTAATGCAAGGCTTCGTCAAGGTGAAGTCAACTTGCATTACTATTTCTATGACAACACCACCTCATCAGCACACCTATTTCAAGAAAAATATTGGGAAAATTAAATACCAAACAAACATTATTTTAAAAAGGTAGCATAAAACAGTCAGAAAATAATATTGTATATAATAATATTATATTATAAAATATATAATTTATAATATATATATATATATATTAATATATATATATAAGATATATATATATATATATATTTATAATATATATATATATGATTATAATGTGTAATATATAATTTTATTAATGATAAAAAGGAAAAAGACCCTAGAAGGATGAAAAAGCAAGAGAGAGAAAAGTAATAGACGAGGACAAGGAGGGTGGGGGAGACAAAAAGAAAGAAGAAAGAAAGAAAGAAAAAAAAGTATTGAATAACTTAAAACAACACAGATAGATGTTATTTACAATTTTGTTCATTCACACTATGCTAAAATTCAAGTTCAAAGAAATAAAATAACACTATCAATAAAGAGAGCATAATTAGAAGTAGTAATAGAACTACTAATAAAAACTAGAAAGATAATACTTTTAAAAATGTGTTTGTGTAAATTTTATTCAGTTTGATCCAGCTACAACAGCTTCACAATTTTTATTCAGGGGGATAGATTGAGAAAATTATTCTGTAAACATGCATCCATTCCTACTCTACATACACATACGAGGGACGAAGAAATGCACAAAAACTTGATTTTTTAATTATTTTGCATAGGTATATGATAGAGATTTTCTGAACAATTACAAATCGATGCATAAGGGAATATTTGAAGCTTATTTAATATAATGACCAAAGCAAAATCACAACTTTCTTCCTGTGAAAATGAATCTTAAACACAATTTTGGTAATAAATAAATTTGTTAATGAAGAGCAGAAGACAACAAAAGAACCCCAAAATGATAGCAATGAGAAAAAAATCAACTTCGTTTACGATAAGACTTTCAAAGACTTGCAAACATTTCTGTCTAGGTATTAATTTAAGATAATTCTGAAAGATATTGATCCTACAGGCAAAAATCTATTATTAAATGTGAAGCTCCTTCGTCCATGTTCCAAGCTGTATTTCAATAACTAACGATCAGGATTTTATTCATTTCATTACAAGCAACAAGTGCAATTCATGGACACCTTTATTCTGATATCAATTACCCATGTGTTTATTACACAGAAACATCAGAACAACTAGCCAACATAACAGATCAATTAGATGTATTTTCAGCTAACATAAAAAGAAAAAAGAAGAAGGGAAAAAAAAAAAAATAAAAAAAAAAAATAAAAAAAATTGAAAACACAAGTTAAAAATTGTTACAAATTAATTTTAGCAAATAAGAATAAGGCCATAGTGACACCATTACTGACAATGTCAGTATTGCTTCTTTCTTTGTAATTAATAAAATGGGAAAAGAGAAGACTAATAAAAACTACAAACATTTGTTATTGCAGTTTTTAGTGCAGGGTTTAGTGTAATTTTTAAAAGATGTTAATTAAAAGATTAAAAGAGAATTCCATTGAAAGGTATGAATGTAAAAGAATAATTTTAAATATCAAGCACACAGGCACAAAGCCATTTTTCTTCTCGAAATAAAAGGAAATGCAAACAAGTAGCCTAAAAAGAAAGATGGAAAAGCTAAAGCTCAACACCTTCACAGAGGAATATTGGGGTAAACTTAATGAACACACCACAAATATTCAACAGAAATAAACATGATAAACAGGACTGTTGTAAGTTAGGTTATAAAGAAAAATATTTTCACATAAGCAACTGGTGAATTAACCTATTCATCTTTCATACACACTCTTTGTGTAATTCATTTCTCGACTTCAAAATATTTTTACACTTTGATAATAATTTGAGAATACCTACATTACCACAACAATGGTTACATTACTAATTCTAAAATGAACCAGCAATTAAAATATTTGATGAACATTAAAATGCTTATTAATAATGCCAGACAGTTAACCATCCTCTCTTAATTTACTACCAACATCATTCTGTCACGCATTTAATGTTATGACTACTGTATACAGATATTTGAAATTTATTCAATCAAGAAAGACTATAATCTCATAGAGATTGCTATTTTATCTACACAGGGTCATTATAAATATTGGTTCTACATTTCAGAATTTATGACCCCGACAGTTTTATAACAAGAATTGATCTACAATCACATGTCAATACAAATGAACAAAAGTTCTATCTTCAAATTAGTCTGTTTTTCTTCTTTAATTTACAAAGACATGACTAGATAAAGTTATAAATAATGTATTATCTATAACACCAGTCAGCAGTAATAGTATAATAAATATCCTATTTATTAAAAGTTCTGAACTACAATAATGTTTTCATTGTAATTGCTTTCCAACACAATAATATTCATGTTAAAAGTTGGTAAACATTAATATGAATATTTTCATTTGTGTTTTGATTTCAGAATCATATTCACATATATTTTTTTTATCTTAAAAGACAGCATAGTAAATCAAAAAAATATAAATGACAATGAAACTCTAAGAACAGTATGCTGCTAATACTTAAACTCTAATAAATAAAATGACATTAGGTTCATAGATAAAAGACCATGAGTATCATGACTTTCCAATATTAACAAAAATGCTTCATAAACTTTTGGTACCTAAAATTAACACGACTCTTGAAAGGCAAAAACCAAATTGAATCATGAACAAATCTGGAAATTACTTTGTTCATTCAGTATTCATCTTTTTAACATAACATTATAATTTCATTACTTACAATACAATAATAAAACATGAAAAATAACTGCCTCATAAATTACACTGATGCCATTTAATTATTTTAACGGCGTTTCTTTTTAGTTCTGCGG